TTTCTTAAATATTACATTGTATAACAGAAATAAAACAATCACCAACAACATAGACTACACATCACCTAGTTTAACAAACAAGATATATCTTTTAACATTTTAAAATTAACTGAAACATGAATTTGCTTATAACTTAATGAACTTTAGCTTCAAAACCCAGTTAGATTTTTTCCATTTGCGGTACAGAGAAACCTCAAAAATGAACATTAAACAAAGGTAAAATAGAAAAAAAATTAAATATATTTATTAGCGAAGACCCGCTTGAAAAAGATTTTTTTTATTTAAAAAAAATACTACTAATGATATTAAACATTACTAATATTCCCTTTAACCACTTCTGGTAAGCTTAAAATGCTTGTGTTAGTTGTGGTTCACGACAGTAGTCGAATGGCGTATTCGAATCCACGAACTTTCGAGTTCGCGGTCCGCGCCCTGCCATTAGGCTACTGACGCTTTAGTGCTATATTTTATTTCTTAGTTTTTAACAACTCCTTTCTACAATCGTATGCCACTACCACGGATTAGTAGTAGTTAGACTGTGCCGCTACCGCTAACACTACTCTAACCCCAATCACTAGACATTAGAGACTAAGAAACATATACGAGTATATTACGACACTTTTCACCTCTAAATGTAGTATATTACGACACTTTTCACCTCTAAATGTAGTATATTACGACACTTTTCACCTCTAAATGTAGTATATTACGACACTTTTCACCTCTAAATGTAGTATATTACGACACTTTTCACCTCTAAATGTAGTATATTACGACACTTTTCACCTGTAAATTAGTAATGATGAAGCCTCGCTTCATCATTACTAATAAACTGTGCAATCATTGAGTTATATGTACTACGTACTAGAAGAGCCTTTCTAAACAAAAAATTTGTCCTACTCTATGTCTTCGCGCATGCGCGGGAGATAGTAAAATCGCGCATGCGCAGTTGATTTAAACGCGTTGCTTCTGCGCGGTCAGTTATATATAAAGAAGTATATTTTTTCATGGTTTTTTCTTTTGTAATATTACGATATTATTACATATTTATTCACTTGAACAACAAATACTTTTACTTACTTGACTACTGAAATGTTATTTACGTCCAAGTTTAAATATTAATTTGAAATGTTGTATTATTAGCGCCGCTCCACACTGCATGAATATTGAAACCACAGACTAACTAGCAGATTGAAACCACACTAAATGACACACTCTACAGATCGCAGTACAGTTCAGTTGAACATAGTGTATGTTCGGAATGCGCAATCTAGTACGTAGTACATATATATCGATGTGTGCAATAGTTATGGTTAATATGGTATGGTCATTACTACTTAGTAATTTTTTCACGTAGGTCTTAGCTAATTTATGTTCCCATTAATTAAAATAATGAATTACCAGAAAGGATCGCCTGATTATTTTAATCAACAAAAGAAGTTTACCAAAATTTTATTTCAGTTAGCCTTTATATTATATGCTATACGCATTTTATCACAGTAAAAATGTCATAAAATATATAAATTGAATAACAAATAGTATAAAAACAAATGTAAAACAAATTATTAAATATTATGCATAAAATTAATTAACAAATAAAACAAAAAATTTATCGGTAACGTTAATAACAATATGAAGAAATAAGAAATTATGTACATCCTGAATAGTTTATAATCACATATAAACTATTCAGGATGTACAAAATTTCTTATACTATTGTAATGCCGGCACTACATGTATTTTTCATTTGTCAAAATACAAACTTTCGCCCCCATAGTCCAGAGAATTTATTTAGTTCGCCCGAACCAAAGAATAAAGCCATATTCATAGAGAAGAGCTCTCGGTAGCGAGTAATTGAGTTCTGTGGGTAAGCGTCAACTGAGTGAAATGAGCAAATTATAATCTAATCGTTCGAATTATATACCGTATCAACGTAAAGTACGCACAAAATTTAAAAAATCTCGATGAAGAATAAAAACGGGAATGGAAGATACTAACTTAAAAGTAAAAATAATGTGATATGAAGAGGCTCGCTTCGTGTGAGTTTTTAACGAGCGTCACGCTGCAGTTATATTATGGTTGAAGCCAAAATGTTGAACTGGGGAAGGCACACGTCCTCACAGAATACGTAGAATAGCAGCAATGCTGTGTTTCGCATGGTGACCGTTTTTACATGTAACGGGAGTAGAGATTCCATCTTATTCTCTTGATTCGTAATCATGGATAGATGTAGCTTTTTTCGTTCACCAGCCCCAGGTTCGCCAACGTTTGATGCTGGGCGATCGTTGATTTCTTTACAATTTAAGCCAAAATATCCGTCTTGTTCAAACCACATATAAACACATCGAGTGTTGGAAGGCCCGTTGGAAAGTATGTACGTGTCGAGCCTGCATGACTGATTCACCTCTACCTCTACCTGATACCTCTCTTTCTTAAAGGTTTTTAATGTAACATAACGTAACCAACGCATAGTTGAGCTGCAGTAACTGTTAAGTACGTCTACCATGATAATGAGGAATTAGAGATGGTGTCTCTAACATGTGGAGGCGTGTAGGTTCGAGCGAGTCTGCTTTGGTTCGAGCGAACGATTCCCGTTAAAAGTTTAAACATAACCTCATAAAATTTAAAAATAGAAACTGATTTTCGTTTTTTTTTTAGTTATCATTGCTTATAAATTAATTATAATTTTTTTGAAAGAAAAATATTCTCACACTTTGACGCAAGTTCCTAATAATGTCTCTCGATTATGATTTTTAATGATAAAATACTACTAATGCTATTAACATCATTAATAATCCCGTTAACTATATTCCAAGTAATACTTGTGAAATTAAATAAATTATTTCCTAGTTTAAATTTTCAGCGACATTGTTTAATAAATATTTCACTATTAAGGAAAATTATATTAATTCATGGACGGATTTTAGAACAAGTTTTTTTTTTGTAGATAGAGTGAAATGCCAAGATATAGAAACAGCTGTCTCAATGACGACGACTCCACGACTTTTTCTGTCACCAGGGCAGCGCTACTTAAAAATGATGTGTAATATTTGACAGTTTCATAGCGGGCAAGTTAATTTGTTTGGAAATTGTAAAGGTTAATGTTTCTTTCTGTACTATTAAGTTATATTTTATATTAATTAGATTAAATTAAATATACCAAACCACAGCTATTCGTATAAGTAGAAAAATTAAAGAGCGCACCACTGAAGCCTTGTTTTGTGTATAATACTCTAGAAACTGATAAATGTTTATTTAAAACTTCTCAATTAAATAACATTGTCTAATGAAAAAATTCACCTCAGTGTCAACTAGCGACATCTGGTGAGCGGAAGATTATTAATAATCCCGTTAACTCTTCCAAGCAATACTTGTGTTAGGAATAGTACATGACAGTACCTAGTTGAATGGCGGATTCGAACCCAAAACTTGAGTTCGCGGTCGACACCTTTAGACTACTGTCGCTTTGAATTATTTACTAATTTATTACATTCACCATCCTCTCATAATCACAATCTTTCGCTCACCAGATGCTGCTAGTTGACACTGAGGTGAAGTTTTTTGTTACACAATGTCATTTAATTGAGAAGTTTAGTCTATATCTGTACATCTATACAAATAAATAAAATTGTTGTCTCTAATAACAAAAATACAATTTTTAAAGTTTTTGTCTGTCTGTCTGTCTGTCTGTCCGTCTGTCTGTCTGTTTGTTCCGGCTTTGACGTGATTTTTACTGGCAGATAGCTGATGCCACAAGAAGTAACTTAGGCTACTTTTATTTTAGAAAATGAATTAGGGTTCCTCGCAAAAAAATTAAAACCACAAAGAAAAGCAGGCGAAGTCGCGGGGAACAGCTAGTCTATATCTATACAAATAAATAAAATTTAAGTGTCTGTTTGTAATGACAAAATAACAACCTTTTACTAAATACATATGAAAGTGTATAAAGTGTTATACGGTACTTAAAATAAAAACATAGTTTTTAAAATTGTTTGTCTGTCTATTTGTTCCGGCTGATCTTCGAAATGGCTGAATTGATTTTGACGAGACTTTCACTGGCAGATAGCTGATGTTATAAGGAGTAACTTAGGTACTTTTATTTTAGAAAAAGAAATAGGGTACCGCGCAAATTAAAAATAAATTTATAATTAAAACCCGAAATTGTACACGGGCGAAATCGCGGGGAACAGCCAGTTTTAAATAAATCTTTATCAGTTTCTAGAGTATTATACACAACTAAGGACTGTGTGGTTTGCTCTATTTTTTTACGTCTTCCGTTCTGTCGGTTTGTAGAATCTGCGACAGTTTCAGCAACAATTTAGATTAATATTATTTATTGCTTTAATTATTAACTATGATATTATTTAATATTTATTGCATTTTCCGTTTTATGTAAGGATTACAAAAGCACGGACTTGAAACCTAAAGATGTCCCTTATGTAACCCACTGTCTCGTGAGATCTAGCGTAAGTATGTCATTGTAAAGCAATCTTATTAAAAGTTCACTCTGCTCGTTCAGTGTTCTTTTTGTTCCTGTAGTGACGTCATTAACATTTTATTAAATTTTGAAAGTTCAAAATTAACATATATACACATATTAAGCGCCTTATTCACAGTCCAACTGCGAGTAAATCGTGTTGCGTTGTGCATGACCTTGGCGGGACGTACTGCAAGATGGACAATTAATAAGGCGCTTTACTCTCCCCCCATGTTAAAAATTTAATTAATATTTTATTCATAATATTATATTTCATAATTAAAAAATAGATACTTTGAATTACTTCGCTGTATTTATAATATGTTCCAACATTATTTTTAAAATTAAGCGTCTTATTCACGGTCCATCTTGCTGTATGTCCCGCCAAGGTCATGCACGACGCACGTACGACGGGACGTACATCAAGATGGACAGTGAATAAGGCGCTTATATCAATTAGTCAACGATTACCAAAGTCAAGAGTATAGACGTTAAAATGTTTTTTGAAACGTATTTTACTGCGCTAACCATCCAGTCGGCTCGTGGCCGTCGTCACGCGATGAGCTCTTGTAGAAGACGTCGTTGCATGTCTATAAGCGACGTGCTTCCGTAAAGCGTCTCTTGATCGAGAAACGTGACTACAAGCGCGGCACGCGTGTCTTCTTCCCGCGTGGGTCTCCATATGTACTCGAAGGTTGTATTGATTGCTGAGACGTTTGTTGCACACATTGCACACAGAGTCGCTCGATCGCCATTTGCGCTCGAACGGCTCTATCGAATCTATGGAATTGACAAATTCAAAATACAAAATGTTTTACTCGTATTTCTTAAGCGTCATTAATACAAGTATGAATGTGTTTGAGGCCTCATTTTAAGTATGAACTACCTACGTTAGGAGAACTCAATTTTCCCTAATAAAGTAACATATAAATTACGTTATTGGAAATAAGTTGTCATACAAGATATAAGATATAACATTTCTCTTTCATTTAAAGTAATGGATACGTATAATTACGATCGTCAAACCACCTGCTAGGTATGACAATTAAAGGCAAGTCATCATAACAACTAGAAAAGCCTATGTTGAGCAGTGGATTTTATCGGGCCGATAAAGAGGCAAAAGAACAAAAAAGATACGGAAATATTACACATTTCTCTGTGTAGTGGCGGCATAACAGAATCCGTCACACCATTTCACCCCTGGGTGTTTTTTTTTATAGAATTATTGTGACAAACGAGCACACAGTCCACCTGATGGTAAGTGGTTGCTGTGGTCCATACACATCTACATCTATCCTCGATTACGTATTATAATATAGTTGGGTTGTCACCCCTGAGGACTAAGATGGAATGCCTCGTTTCCAGTAAAAAGAGTCTCCGGTTCTCTACACTCACCATACGAAATACAGCAGCGTTGCTGTAGGTCGTAGGTGGTCGTAGGTTAAGGAATATGTCTGGAAGAACATGTTGTATTTATATTAGATGTTAAATATTGAGAGTAAAAATAAGCAAAACCATACATATGAGGGTCGAAATGTAATGTACTGCTTGACAACTCCTTTCTGTATTTAGAGACCCATGTTCAGCAGTAAACTGTTTGAAATATTAAAAAGAGTAGAAATTAACAGAGGTTGGTTATGCTGTTGCTTAATTGGGTTAACCAGTGAAAGAATAGAAAAATATAGGTAAGCCACCGTGAAGAGATAGTACCTATGTTGACAGTGGAGTTCGGGGTTAAAACTGAAAGTTTATACACATTCAAAAACAGGCAGTAACTCATTGAGCAATATTTGCTCTGGTTTATATTATTCTTTAAAGGTTCAATTGATACACACTGGAATATTACAGTCTGCATTACTAACAATCGTTTTCCATTTGTCTTGAGAAATGTTCGACAGCGGGCAGCGTCCATTAAACCATCATCTAAACAACGATAATGTTTCAGCGCACTTCGCCAGACGAACAGTCAAAATAAATATATGCTTACATCACGTGTGTGTTCACCTAATTTTTAAACTTGACACCTAATTAGCACCTAAAAAGCCCCTAATTTTAGATTTTTCCAAATGCAAATTCCCGACTTTGCGTTGCTGGCGAGACACAACTCTGTTTGACATAACGAGTAGACATATATCCCCCGTCCCTAGCATGGAGCCAAATGAAAGATAAAAATTATGCTTTTTTGACATTTGAAAGGAATAATTCTATCTTAGTTCATTAGACGTGGGTTTAAGTTTATATTAATACAAAAAACCTATCTAAGTCTATCTCCCGTTTTATCTACTGTAGATATTATATCTACCGGTTTGCCCATGCTCGAAGGGTGAATAAAACTAAGCGAGGGGATAAACATTATCTCCTTTCCCCGGGGATAAAATTGTCTCCTGCCCATGCTAGCCCTGTAGGGGTGATAACGTACGCATTTTAATCGAAGATCGATGTATGTGTCTTTAGAATTTATAGTATAGACCTAAACGTCCACTTATCAACAGGTGATTTGTAGCTTGTTGTAAGTAAAAATGCTTATTTGCCATCCTCACTGAAATAAAAAATGCAACGACTATATATATTTATTGTACTTACCTCTTAAACTTGGTATTAGAGGTGACGTTAACGACGTATTTAATGGAGTAGTTATTTTGTGCGTACTGTATAAATTCTGAACTATCTGGTCTAGTTTACTCAGTCTATCCTTTTCGTTCCTGTAGTCTTCCATATATTCTATTTCTTTCGTGTCATTTTGTGGTGCGATCTCGTAATGACTATTGGAATTGCTCTCTGAGTTATTGTTTGTGACAATTTTATTTGGAGTTTCTTGTTTATCTACGTCGAGGTTCGTATAAGTGTAACTTCCTTCTGGTATTATTTGCGTTTCATTCGAAGTAACTGTTGAGTTCTGAAAGAGAGAAGGAATTAAGTTAATTCTGATGTACAAGTTCTTTTGATAGGATGTTTTTGGAATGTTTCTTACGGAGAATGATTTTACTGGTTCACTATCGACGACGTTACTGAGATAAAGATATTTGCCAACCCTATCAATGCAATCTTAATGGAGCCATAAATGTTTACTACTTTGCCGTTTTAGGAAAATACCAATATTATAGGGAGACCAATGACTCTTGATATTTATCATGTCCTATAGAAAACAACTGACAATCAGTCATTTAGTAACGTCTGATTTCGAAAATATTTTCTAATAAATACTCTTTAATAGAGTAAATAATTTTTTTTAACTTTTCTACCGACTTCAAAAAGTAGACGGCACTCAATTCGACTGTATGTTTTTTTTATGTGTGTTACTTCATAACTTTTTTCTCGGTGAACCGATTTCGATGATCCTTTTTTTATTTGAAAGCTGGTGCTTCTCATGTGGTCCCATAAACATTTGTTCAAGGTCTGACTAATAGTTTTTGAGTTATTCTTAATAATTTATATTGAAGTCGGTTGTACAAAATAGTTAATTTTAAATTATATAAGTCAACGTTTGACTCCTATCTCTCCTGATGGTAAGTGGCGATGCAGTCGAAGACGGTGAACCACACTGACTTGACACACTTAACAAAAGCCTATTCACTCTTGCCTTGAACACACCCAAATTATAATCGGATGAAAGGACAGATGCTGGGAGACAAAGCAAATTTATTTTTTATATTTTTATAAAACGTTATCCCCACACTAGGATCTTCTCCTGTATCGTGGAGGCAGTTTACAAATATAGATTGCACAAGGACAAACATCCAGACCCGGAACAATTTTTTTTATAGCAGAGGGGGCAACGAGCATGTGGCCCACCTGATGGTAAGTGACTACCGCCGCCTATAAACAACTGCAACACCATGAGATTGCCTTTTAAGAAATAGCTCTTTTCTTGAAGGTTCCTAAGTCGTATCGGTCCGAAAAAGTCTCTGGTGGTAGTCGGTTGCATAAGAAATTTGTGCGAGAAAGAAAACTTCTTCTAAATCGCACAGTGATGGATCACCAATCGTCAATATATTATGGATGGTATCGCATGTTTTGTCCTGATGTGCGATGGTGTAACGGAGTAGCTGGAATTAGTCCGAACAAATCCTTAGAGTACTCTCCGTGGTAGATGCGATAAAATACGCAAAGAGATGCAACATCTTTTCGCAGTGCCAGTGCGTCAAGTCGGAATGAACTCGGTCGTTGACGATTCGAGCTGCTCTGCGCTGGATGCGGTCAAGTGGAAGGAGCTGGCACTGGGGAGCCCCTGCTTAGAGATGATCAAATAATAATCGTGTACTACCCGTGGCCCCCAGTGCAGCAACTAGCTTAGCCACTGCGCCACGAAGGCGTCAATTCTTTGACAACAAAGCAAATGTTTTCAACTTCAATAGATGTAGGGTTAGTAATTGAAGTAAACTATTGTTTCTCTTACATCCTAAGATACTTTGTTATAATATAATAATATCGGGGCTTATTATCTATTACACTCATTATATATACGGTGCTTTAAGGCTTTAACTAGCCTGAATGACCTTGACGAAACGGCGATCGCAGAGATTTTAGCCGATGTCAACACCGTCTAGCAACTACGTTCTGTATTACTTATAAAAGTGCAAAGATTAATAGACTGCAGAGATGACAATTATATAAGTGACATACTGCCTGTTATGCTTGCGCATCACTGAGAATTATGTCGCGGTTACCCATCTTCAATTACATTGCACGGTGTGGTGCTGTAGCTTTGAGCTATCAAGTGTTCAAGTTTCAAGTACGTAAGAATTTTTAATATATATGTTAAATCGTATTTATTTGTGTCGTATTAAAAATATGTCGTCAAAACGTTCGCTGTAAATTTTCCCGGGTTTGATCCCCGACGGCACGAATGAAATTTGTAATTGCAATTTTCGTCAACACGCATTGAGGAAGCACGGCGGGCATTTCCTTGCCCTAAAACCCTCTCAGAAATAAAAAAAGAGTCCTGTGCCCAGTAGAGGGACTTGTGTAGCCTATTACTTTACTTTGTAGCAATATTTATATTCGTTTCAGATATAGAAGGGTACCTTATGCTGACAAAAATATCATGTGGAGGCGACGAAAAGGTAAAACATCATTGTACCTAGATAAAACGTTCGAAAGATTGTCAGTCATGTCATACGCCACATTTTCTATAGAGCGTAGAACATTGCAGATAGGGCAAAATAAAAAATAATCCAATATATTATGGGAACTATTTATTAATAATATATACATTTATAGGTATTTATAATAAAAATAATGAAAAAGCTGCAAGGTTCAAGCAATAATGTTTTTTGTAAACACAATCGTAAAATTCCTGTTTTAATTTTTACCAATAGTTAATTGATGAAACGTAGTCAAGATCACTTCATATAAAATATATTTAATTAAAATTGACACGTGACCTATTTGGCCTTCTACTTACAACTCGGCGGAAATTTGAAAAGAAGATTTTGTCTTTTCACACAAGTATTGTTTACAACTGGCATGGTTTCGAAAAGCGTGATTAAGTGTCAGCGGTATAAAATCAATTAAATACTGAACTTTATTGAAATTTATTTTTTTTATTTATTTTTGTTATATCTTCTTAAAAACTGACGCCATCTCACTATTTTATTATTTGTTTTTTTTTGCACGCATAAGGATAAATTAGACTAAGTTAGATTAACTTGGATAAGTTTATATTTTTTTTAATTTTATCACAAAATTTCCGCAATAAATTATTACCTTTTCTACAGTGATTCTCTCCTCTTAGTTTCGGCGTGACTGTAGGGTGTTATAGTGAGTCACCGTCAGTTACTAAGAGGCCATAAATCATTATATGTATGTATAGACATACATATATACATTTTTTGATTTTAATATTTATGTTTTTTGAATTTTGATTGATATTTTGAAACCTGGTAAAATTACTTTTTTCCATACCAATTGATGGGCCTGAGTATAATGCCAGTTATGCTCTTTGGCTGAAGTTATTTTTTATTTTATGCTCAATTGCAGACAAAACAATATTGATTGCGCATTTCTAAAACAAAATTTTACCTCTTCTCCTTCTAATAATAGCTCCTGCACCTAACACGGCGGAATAGTTATTATTATCTATAAGACCATTTGGGAAAACAGTTTTTGTTAACAGTTATGAGTGTAACATTTTATCAGCTGCTTTGTTTATAGTGCCTTGAGCAACACTTTGCCGGTTTCTGTACAGAAAATGATGCTGGCTTTGCAAATACGGATGGTCGCTATCATTGAGTATTATTCCCGCTATGTTACACTTATTTACATAGAAACTTAAATTATTATTTGTTTAAAATTCTAAATAGCACATTTTACACAAGAAAGTAAACTTTTAGATCAGTCCATTTTGTTTTTCACTAATTAAGTAAAAAGTAAAACAAACCAATAGGGCGGGGAATTAAAATTTCTTGCAACTTTTTATAGAAAAGCATGACCTTATCATAATATAAAAGTCAATCATTTAGCCATGTGATAAAACTTTTAAGTGTGTCAGTCAAACATTAATGATGATATTCGGGTCATTATACTGGAAATAGTCTTTTAAATATTTTGTAGTACAATTGATAATCTTCAGTATGATTGACCATGTATATAACTTTTATAAGTCTATGTTATTTTTGATGAAAATTATTAATGCAGATAAAAGCCCTTTCACATTTATTTTAGTCTCGAATTAAATTAATCAAAATGAAAATAATAACATTGGCTCTTTATAACTGATCTTTAAATGTAAAACACTGACTTGAAATTATATAATTATTGGCATTTTTTTAATTCATTGAACTTTTTTAAGATTTTGTTGAAACTCTACTGGTAAAAAAAAAATATTATAAAAAAAATATTATAGTTCTTGATGAAAATAATGTATGCGCGTTACATCGCATCCCATCAAGAATTTCTAATGTAATTCTTGGTGTAAAGCTAAGACGTGATAATAACTGTAAACAATAGAATAACAAAATAATGAAAACATTTACATTTACATACAAAACATTTACAAAAATACTTGCTTTATAACCTTATAAATATTATTTGACCGTAATAAAATAAAACAAGGTAGTCTTGGGCATGAAAGTAAAAATAAATATTTTCGATTATTTTTGCAATATCTAACAGCCGGATCAGCGGGCGCTTCTGATCCATCTAAAGATGCTAAATTTCAGCAAGCACTGTTAAATTCAATAGGAGTGACAGAAAAACGGTTCTTGATATAGAAAGGTAAATAAATTATTTAACCTATAAAGTAAAATCACTTTATTTCAAATCAAAATAGCCCAATAGCTTTATTAACATGAGACATAATTGTACGAGTGCTTACAATACTTAACATTGTTTTATTGAAATCTCAGAAAGTTTTTTTTAAATAGAATAAGGGTGACAAATGAGCACACAGTCCACCTGATGGTAAGTGGTTACTACGGCCCATACACATCTACATCTATCCTCGATTACGTTTCAAAATGTAGATGCGTTGTCACCCGTGAGGACTAAGATATAATGCCTCGTTTCCAGTAAAACGGTCCTCCGGTTCTCTACACTCACCATACGAAACACAGCAGGGTTAAACTGCTATTTTACATGTTATTCCGTGACAGCGTGGCTCTTCCCCGGTCGAGCCGACCCATTCGTGCTACAACTATACCTAATAAATATAGCTGTAGCATGGCTCTACCATGTAAAAAAAAATTGACGTTGAAAATTTAAGTATATTTAGAAGCAACTTGCAATTATTTTCTATTGAGTTAATTTTTGTCGATTGAATAAAACTATTTTTACGGATTTTATCGCGTTTAATTAACTTATTTTATATTCCCGACGTTTCGGTTGCTTTCCAGCAACCGTGGTCACGGGGACTGAGGTGATTGACGTCCCGATGTCAAAGTTAACCCGGAGTACCTTCAGCTTTTTAATTATTAATTTTGGTCCGATCTACGCAGAATGAACTAACTGTGTCTTGAAGTCTTACAGTGGTATGCTTGGGTTTAGTTTTAATTTTATGAATTACAGGATCCCAAGCAGGTGGTAGTACCCAGCCTCCCTCTCTATTGAAATTAGGATGTTTTTTATTTTCAATAGCCTCACGTATCATCCTTGGCAGGAATCGATGTTCTTTCGCGAGGACTTGTGGTTTATCAAATTTAATGTAATGACGGGGGCCGTCTAGGATATGATCACAAACTGCAGACTTCCCGGAACGTTGGTGCTACACGTCAGCTATGTGCTCAGAACACATCGATTCCTGCCAAGGATGATACGTGAGGCTATTGAAATTAAAAAACATCCTAATTTCAATAGAGAGGGAGGCTGGGTACTACCACCTGCTTGGGATCCTGTAATTCATAAAATTAAAACTAAACCCAAGCATACCACTGTAAGACTTCAAGACACAGTTAGTTCATTCTGCGTAGATCGGACCAAAATTAATAATTAAAAAGCTGAAGGTACTCCGGGTTAACTTTGACATCGGGACGTCAATCACCTCAGTCCCCGTGACCACGGTTGCTGGAAAGCAACCGAAACGTCGGGAATATAAAATAAGTTAATTAAACGCGATAAAATCCGTAAAAATAGTTTTATTCAATGTGTAGTGTTCGCGTAAATATAAGAAATCATAATTTTTGTCGAATCGTGTTTTGCAAACCGCCACCTGAAATACGTACAATTTTTTTTTCGATAATGACGTGAAATTACAAAACCATCCCCATGCATTTCAATGTGGCTCTATTCAGCCTCTTAATATGAACATACCTCGGATTTCAGAGATAATGGAAGATAAAATATTATATTATTACTGTTCCGTGTGAGGCAACCTTTATACTTATATACATATTCTTATCATATTTTTATGGTTGATTAGAAAAATTATATCTAAATGCAAACTTTCACAGGGTAAATTTTTTTTTACTATTTTTACCCAGCAAGTAGTAAAGCAACTACAATCCCATCGGTAAGTGGTTATGTAGTCTAAGATGGTGAATTACACTGACTTAACAAAAACCTATTCACTCTTGCCTAATAGTACTAGGTAAGTATTATTTGCGACCTATTTGTGTGTGTGTGTGTGTGTGTGTGTGTGTGTGTGTGTGTGTGTGTGTGTGTGTGTGTGTGTGTGTGTGTGTGTGTGTGTGTGTGTGTGTGTGTGTGTGTGTGTGAAGAAAAGCGTATGAGAATACGTGAGGAGGAATAAAGGTTGAGTACTAATTCGCTTACCTGTACGAGGTTGCCACTCGAGGACCTTTCTTCCTATTTTTTATATGTTTTCCAAGTTATATAGCTAGCCCATTGCCATTTCACTGTAATATTCCGTTGAGCTATGTCAATTACTCTGGTTCTAATGCAAATACCTTCATTTCTAACTTTATCACGTAGAGAAAACCCTCTCCAATTTAAAATTTTTACATTTTTTAGATGATAGTTTGTCTAACAAAAAAAAAACCATAAACCCAAGAATGTCTTTATATAATTATTTATACTTAGGTAAGCACTATTCTTTTATTTATTTAAATTGTTTGATTTAATTTGATAACTGTGTACCTAAATGTAAGTATCTGTATCTTTATTTCTCTCCCCAATAATATTTTATAAAGTCATACTTATAAAAACAGCGTTTTATTATATACATAATTATAAAATTCATTATCAACTAATTAATAAAAAAATATGCAACAATAAAATTACATAGGTATTAAAAACTATCGCAATCTAACTAACGAGAGCATGTTCGTCGTTCCACATCTAAATTATATAAAAATGCATTTTTCAATTTCACTAATCAACGTCGCCGCAAAAATTTCTTCTTCTTTGGGCACTTTAAAAATTCATTTATTTAGAAAATAATATTTACAGTTACCAGTGTACAGATATTTACTAAATTAAGTATTTCTAGTTATAAAAATATTTAGAATTGAGTATAAACTTTTAAAAAACTAATATATATTTGAACGAAGTCGCTCCAACACCGACGTGCGGTCCACCCTCGACGATGTCCGAAAACGGACTGTGACAGAGCTTACATGGCGACGGAGCATGCGCGCTCGCGTAAATATATTCAATTTTAGGGAAAAATTATATATTCTCTTATAAAACGGGTAATAAAAATAAAACTCTCAATTGAAAATATTAATATTTTTAAGACCTTTTTTTTAGTGTAAGAATTATTTAAAAAGCTTGTGCCGTTTTGGAGAAATTTTGCAAAATATGACAAAGATAGGTACTCTTTGGGGATTTTTTTTCTAATAAGTGGTTGACAAAAATACAATTTTGTTAAATTAAAAACATTTACGAAATCTTCTTCTGTAACCCTGTATTTTTTCTTTGTGGATTAAATGAACAGTTATTGAGATTTTTTTACTTAAATATCCTAGATTTAGGCATTTCAACCACTGTTAAGGCCTTAAAATAAATCACCTCGTTTACAATTAAAGTTTTTAGTTTGTTAGAGTTACAAATCATTTTATTATTTTAACAACATTACAGGCAACTGCAACTTACGTACATAAAGAAAACTAATAACTAATATAAATTTCCGCATTCGGCAATCAGCAATCGTAGAGCTAGGTAGGGTAAATGGGAAAGTTTTGTAATATGCAAATGCTTTGGTAAGTTCAACGTACGTAATCTAACGTAATTTATTATAATAGAATGTAGGCAGGGAAAATGATATCATTATGAATACATCATTATAGCAGCTTAATGCTGCTGTGTTTCTAATGGTGATTGTAGAGAACCGGATACCCTTTTTACTGGAAACGAGGAACGCATCTGCATTTTGATTCATAATTGAGAGCAAATGTATAACCTGTCGGAAATATCTGCGAACCTGGCTTGATGACGTCATGCAATATGGAGAGATGGCAACGGTACTGGATAGACGATAACGGGCGGAAGCGCATTCCAGCGAGGTTCGCAGATATTTCCGACAGGTTATAGATGTCTATGGGTCACAGCGTCCAGTTACCGTTACATACCAGGTGGACTGTATGCTCGTTTGTCACCCTTATTATATATAAAAAAATATGAATTGGGAAGTCAGGCACTTTAAATTAATATTGTTTCTATCATTTCAGGGTGTTCACGTTGAGGTCTCTCCACATATTGATGCGGAATTGGCCTAAGCCGCTCGGAAATAGCTTAATCTGTGACTATGGAATAGTCTGTGACATAAGGGTGTAAACGTCGTTATATGTCTCAGCTCGGGTAGGCCGACGGCAAAAGGGGTATTGCCAATTAGCCAATTTCATCCGTCTAGTATGGCTGACAACATATGTCGCTAACAGAAATCGAACACCGGTATGTCTACTTCCTCGACAGTTGCCGATCAGTTACAGCGTAGCGTTTCTACGTGGTAGAGCCATGCTGCAGCTATATTATGGTTATAGCATGAATGGGTCGGCTCGAACGGGGAAGGACCACGCTCTCACAAAAAAACAGCGTAAATTAGCAGCTTAACGCTGCTGTGTTACGTATGGTGAGTGTAGAGAACCGGAGGCCCTTTTTACTGGCAAAGAGGCATTCCATCTTAGTCCTCACGGGTGACAACGCATCTGCATCTTGAGTCTTTATTGAGGATAGATGTAGATGTCTATGGGTCACAGTAACCACTTACCATCAGGTGGACTGTGTGCTCGTTTGTCACCCTATCCTATAAAAAAAAAACAGCGATAGCCGTAATTAAAATTCTACTTCCGTTAATCTATACCGCCAGTGTTCTTTTCTCAACCTTCCAATAGACATGCTACAATAATTACGAACGTATGTATCGACTAGATAAGGTACCTATTAAAGATGTAAGCAGAGGCGGATTAAATGTCGACAGTGGCCTAGGCTAGCATCTCATCAGCGCCCAACTGGCGATCATATATTAAGTATAAATTATAATTATTTATTTTGCAAATAAAATATATTAGGTATAACTTATAATATACTTTAGTTGCAAAATAATTAGAACACGTAACAGGTAGGTATGAATGAAAAAACTGGTTGAGAGAGTGAGTGCGATGTAGGAATAATCAAGTAGACGGGGCGCGTTTTGAAGCTCTACATCTCTATAAAAAGTATATTTTTGTTATATGTAAGTAGGTATGAGGCGGCACTGTCGTCGCGCCACAAGCGAAAGCCATCGAAGCCTAAGTCGCGCTATCAAAGTTCCGAACTAAAAAGCAGTATATATATAATAGCTCCGAACTACCACTTGGAGCGTTGGCTGCTCCCGGGCAGAACACCTTGCTCGGCGGGAGATCTCCCCTTTTCCTTACCACGGCCACAGGTACATAGTTAATATATTTTCGTTTAAAAACTTCCTTAGGTTAGTTTGCCTTAGGTATAATTCGCCACTGGCTGTAAGCAGTGCCAAAAGAAAGAAAAACCAACAAAAACACTAACATTTATAATTGGGCAAGGATTATGTGCAATTATAATATCAAGGTTGGCCAATAGTCAGACTGATTGAGATTGCCAGGTCAGAATGGATGTTTTGGCTCTTGCGAACTCACCGTATCAGCGTCTGTCAACCCTGAGACTTTCAGTGTCTGCGCGAGACGTAACAGCGGTGGTAGATTCTTCTTCGAAGCGGTCACCTCTCCAGTGTACATGAACGTGAGTAGAAGTCTCAACTCCGTCACTTCACAGCCAAGCACTATTACCAGAGCGTTGTTTTCCGTCACCACTTCCTGGAAGTGAGAAGAAATATTTTCCCGTTCACTAACTAACTTAACAAACTGGTGAATTGCTGAGAGCAATATCGGTTGGTACCTTCCCACTGGCGATTCTGCTCCCTCATCACTATTCTATTAGATTTAAAGTTTGCTCGGTAAGAGTTGATAAATATTATGAAAATGTTTCGCAATAGCAACTATCGCTTAAGTATCGCAGCCTGTGTGACAAGGAACGATGATCACCGTAAGCACAGAGTTTTGTGGTACAAGAATTGCAGCTGTTGTCAAGCGCAAATCCAGGCAGGCGAGCCGACGCGGCGACTTTTTATTAGCAATAATTATTAGCGGGCCGCAATTTGTAATGGGTTTAGAAACCCTGATTTTTTAGAAATCTCGCCGAATAGACTATAGGTTCGTCCTATCCGAAAGTAAATCCCGGTACTTATTGGACGCAACTGTCGTCGCACAGGAATTATAAATAAAATAATTGTGCAAAAGTATGACACATACTCGTATTCCTTGCATAATCCTCATTTCCCTACACAAACTTTACGTATTGTTACGTTTCTTTCGTTCCGTACGTTGACGGTGATAAGAATACCACGTTTATGTTGACTTGGAAAAACGGACATTCAACGTAGATATGCAAATTTTTTGACATTCCAATTTAATTCCTAAAATTAGAATAATATGATGTAACATTTTGTATTACTTTTTTATTCATATAGTTTTAAGTCGCTTGATATTGAACATTATAAAATTATTTAAATATAAGGATGGCATAAATAACTCACTTTATACTATAACCTTACTTTATAATTGATATTTTGCACACCATACCTTGAACAGTTGAGCAAAATACTGACTGCAACAAGCCAATATAAGTCGATGGGCTTTAACGGAGGTACCGTTGGCGCTTAGAGTCACATCGCTCAGAGCACCGGTGCTCAGCATTTTCCCCAAGGCTCCAATTACGCTGTTCTATTAAAGCAAATTATCCTATTAATATAAATGCAATGAAAATTGCAGTGTTGTTAGTAGTAAAATTTGCTGTTATTGAGGTAAAGTTAAGCAAACAGTAATTATACTACGTCTATCTGCAGTTATTTTGTTAATTAGATTTAGGGATTTAGGAAATGCCAGGGAATTTAATTAAATTAGTATTTATTTTTTCTTTTATCATTTTAAGGTGAATATGTACTTTAGGTATGCGTTTAGTTTTTGCATCTTGAAAATGGTAATGTTATAAACATATTTAAATTTACAATAATGTAACAATTATATTACATATATCTTGTTTACATTCAGATTAATATGTTAATAATATGTAGTATATCATTAATTAATATATTAATAACCTACTAATTAATATATTAAGAATTTAATTAATAGGTTATTAATATATTAAGAACCTACTTCATTCTATCTCTGCATCACCCCAAGGTCTCCGTCTATATACCACGTGTTTATTTGAAGTTTTAAATATGTAATATAAATAAAATAAATATACAATAGAAACCTTTAACAACCCTTAAAAAAGTTTCATAATTCTTGTGGACCTTAATTTAAATTATCGGTCTGTAGTTCAAATGTGAACAGTAATGGGGACAGATTATTACATATTTTAGACGTCGACGACACATTATTCATTATAGTAAGTTTATTAAACGACGCGACGATATTTCATCACATTACGATGTAGTGTAACTTATGTGCGAGTACAGAGTAGAGATAACTGTCTATCCTTAACCTATAAAACTATAAAATTATCAAGTTTAATTTTTTAATTTTGGAATTGAAACTTTTACTAAATATATCACTAAATAAAAAATATACGCGGTTTATGTAGGTAATAAAAAAAAACTATAACACTCCAAATACACAAATAACAATATAATAGGTTTTCCCTTCTGTTTTAATAAGACATTAAATTTGTGTTAAAATAATAATTGATGAAAGTGTTGCCCTACTAATGTATAATATGTAGATAATTGAAAGAAAAAATACCGTATAGTAAAGAGAATTGAGACACCATCGTCTTATAAAAAGATCTTTAGTGATCTTTCTATTTAAATTTTAATTATATTCCAGATTAATTTTATTCCGACGGTAAAAAAATTTCATTTACTTGCAATGATTTGAAATGAAATTGCCGTACTAATAGTTTTTAACAAAAATCTGTTTTATAGTATACTAACGATCCGCCCCGGCTTTGCACGGGCGATTTCTGGATCTCGCAAACAGCGCCACCTATCGCGCCCAATTTTGAAACTAAGCCATGCTCGAATCAAATCGAAAAAACTTCAAAATCGGTCCAGCCGTTTAGGGTGAATTCAATCAGATACACACGGACAGAAGAATTATAATATAAATATGTGCTTCGTGTTAAATAGATGAGTCATTTTTTGATTATATTAATTAGTCTTACCGATTCGATGCTTCGCTCCATTATTGTATATATAGTGTGTGTATAGTATATATAAATTCTTATTTAAACCAACATCATATGTCAGTTTTTTTTTTTAAATAAACAAAATTGTCAGAAATTTAAACCTTACATTATAACATTTGATCCGCAGAATATAGAGTTGTTGCTGGAAGTTGGTGCTTTTACGAATTTGCAAATTGTAATTAAATATCCTAGAACAAACTGTAATATTTCCTCTGAAGTAAGTTTTTCTCAATTTCAATTGTTATTCTGACTTCCAATTGATTTTCATTTAATATACTAATATACATAAAGTCGTTTTGTAATTCAAAATCTTCAAATTATAATATAGACAGTCAACTTCAAACTTAGTTTCCACTACAACGCAGTAAATTCTAAATAAAAAAAGTAATGATAAAGGTAAGGTTCTAAAAAATTTCTCTTGAATTTATCCGTTAAATCGTTTTGTAATTAAAAATCTTCAAATTATGTATAATATGGGCAGTAAGCTCCAAGTTTAGTTTCCACCACAACGCATTAAATTCTAAATAAAAAATTGGTAATGGCAAAGGTAAGGTTCCAAAATAATTATCGCGAATATGTCTCAAATCAAATTTTATAGATAATTAATCATTTCTCGGCATTTAAATAATATTCTTTTGTATTTCATTGTTTTTTATAATAGCAACCCTACCATAATCTTAAATTTCTTCAGTATAATGTTAGTAAGAATTACTAGTGCTTAAGAGCCTTAATATTTATTTTGTTAAAATTAAATTAAATATTACTTCTATTGTTGTTAATTCGAAAGATACTGTAAGAAAAATATTTATGTCTATTAATGTTTTTATTGTGCAAAATGTTATTAAAAAGTTAAAAAATATATATTTTACATTAAAATATGTTTCATGAAAGTAATATTATATTTTAATTCAATATTATTTTTATAAGCTGTAATGCACACATAAAGCGTGAGAATGATTCGAAAATGTGTTTCAAATATCGAAAAGTGTACCTGTGTTCTCTGTAGTGTTTAGAAAAATAAACAATTACTTACCTACCTGATGGTTGTGCCAGCGTAAAGAAAATTGTTGAGAATCATCCTCATCCATTTTAAATGGAAAAAAGTCGTAAAATATGCCGCAGTCGCTGATAGAGACTCACTTAAATCCGGATCGATACTCGCTCGCTCAGACAATAATATTGTTAACAGAATCCAGGCTACTTTATTTCGGTCGGTACGCCTGGAAAACCTGTAGCCACCTATTTCTGGAGCTGATCTTATTTATAAATCCAATGACATTCAGTCAGTGACGCGCCACACATACCAAAAGTCATCCAAAAACAGATTTAGTTCGCTCGACACGATGATTGGCATCATTGTTTAAGTGTTTGCACTAGTTTCGATAACGTACATCTTTGTTCTGCGCAAAATTCCGCTGTTGTGGACAAGAGTTGGCTTATTTTCCTTAAACAAATAAATTTGGCACCATTATTAATTTACTAAAAAAATTAATTTTGATTCTTATAGTAAGAGAAATTATATCTAATTAACAGTGTTGATACTACGAATAATATTGATTAAAAATAGTTTAAAAGAATGGAAACAATTTTTTTAAAGTAATTAATGAGTTGCGCATTTTGGCTGAATAACAAAAGGATTATTAGTCATTATTAGTCAGATTAAAAAAAAAAACGGTTGGCGCGCTGTATGTAACGGAGAGTACTACGTTTTAATAGGTACCTATAAAAACGTAGTGATTAATTTGATTATTACTCTTTGGAATTTATTGTTTGTATCATAGTTTTTGCAAATAAAAGGGATGGATAAAACAAATAAATTTTTGGAATATCAAAACGATCCCGACTTTTTCAATATCGTCAAAACGTCCATTGATAAAGAATTATCTAATATGAAGAAAATAGTTGATAAAATAAACCAAATGAGAGGTATGTAACAAAGTAAAGTTATTATATGACTAGCGACCCGCCCGGCTTCGCCTGGGTTTACAATAAATTTTTCGATATCTTAAAAAATCTACAAGGATTTCGGATAAAATATGGCCTAGATCATTCCTGGCATAGCTCTCTATCTGTTCCTCTTGTTAAGCTATATAATCTTTAAGCGCTAGTTGTAATATACGTTTTACGAAGAATCTTACCTAATTGCTGATTTACCACGTGCACGGTTGTGAAAGAAAACATCACGACGAAAGGTGTGAAATATAAAATATATTTGAAGGACATGTTTGGATTGTCTATCAACACACACTGGTCAAACCCAGTGGACTATCATTATCATTATCATCATCATTATAGTCTATGAAAATTCACTGCTGGACATAGGCTACCCCGTAGATTGCCTTACAGGGATATTTGCAATAGATGTTGGCAACCGCAGTTTTTTATTATTTTGATTTGGTATTAGGAAGATGCCGCTGTCCTTTTCCATTTCTCTCTGTTATCTCTTTCGATGCCCACTGGACGATTCGCGCACGCCATAATCCCTTTAAGCTTTTGTACCATTGCGTCATTTCATTTCTGATATCTTCTTATGTATAGACTAGCTGTTCCCCGCGACTTCGCCCGCGTGTAATTTAGGGTTTTAATTATGTTGCGCGGAACCCTAACTCTTTTTCTAAAATATAAGTAGCCTAAGTTACTCCTTATAACATCAGCTATTTGCCAGTGAATATCCCGTCCCGTCAATATCGGTTCAGCCGTTTCGGAGATTAGCCGGACTAAACAGACAGACAGACAGACAAAAATTTTAAAAATTGTATTTTTGTTATGAGTACCGCACCGCATACTTATACTCATAAGGATTTAGTAAAAAGCTGTTATTTTGACATTACAAACAGACACTTCAATTTTATTTATTAGTATAGATATAGATGATAGAATCTCATTATGGAGCAAGTAGTCCGTCACGATGTTTTATTTTTATTTTATTCGTCGTCGTCGTATATTTATAGTCGAGCACGTGGTAAATCAGCACATAAAATTGCGATTAAGAATTTCGTAGGTGCTGGCGGGGATCGAACCCGGGTCGCTTAAGTAATGTGAAATTTACTATTTACTACGGATATCATTTATCCCCTAAAGGAACATTCATTAATTACGTTAGGATGATTTTGGCGATTTTTGACCCTCCCCCACCCTCATGTAAGGGTACATAAGATTTTTCGAAACCTCTTTTTACGTAAGATTCTATCTTTTGGTGACAAACGGGCACACAGTCCACCTGATGGTAAGTGGTCGCTGTGACCCATAGACATCTACATCTATCTTCGTTTGCGAATTAAAATGCAGCCGTGAGGACTAAGATTGAATGCCTCTTTTCCAGTAAAAAGGGTCTCCGGTTCTCTACACTCACCATACGAAACACAGTAGCATTAAGCTGCTATTTTACGCTGGTATTCTGTGAGAGCGTGGTCCTTCCCCGGTCGAGCCGACCCATTCGTGCTACAACTATACTATTAATATAGCTGCAGCATGGCTCTACCATAGATAAAAATAAACACATTGAAGATTTAAAATTTTAATAAACAATAAAATTTGTGAAATATAAGATAATTGAAGTGTACACATGTGAAGTGTTTATATGAACTTGCTGCGTTCGGAATTTCGTATCGGACTTCCGAAACTGAATCCCGAAACAGAATTCCGTATGTACATATGTGGCTGGCCTTATAAATATTCTAAGATGATTATCACCACAAATTTATGAACCAATTTATACTATAGGACTGTTAATTTGAGTTTTTAGTGTTAGTCTTTTTATTGTGGTAATAATAATTGTTATATATTTCTTTGTTATGTAAATAAACGGTTTAGGAAATGTACATCATGAGCAAAAAAATCTCCGTTGCAGTGTTATTATAATTTTTTTTATACACATAACGAGCACACAGTTAACCTGATGGTAAGTGCATGCTATGGCCCATAGACACCTACATCTAATCTCGCTTATAAATTAAAAACCAAACTAGTTGTAACTCGGAGGACGTAGAGGGGACGGCTCGTTACAAGTCAAAGTGGTCTCAGGTTCTTAGTACTTACCGTATGACTGCCTCATTGATCTAGTAGTTGTAAACGTGACTGCTGGCCATCGGGGCGAAAGAAAACAAATAAGATATTGAGTTTTTCTGTCAAAGATTCCTAGTAGATGCCCGGAGCCAGGAAGTTGGCGATGTTTTAATCCTGTGCATCGGAAAACACGTAAGCTTCGATCCTGGATTCAGATCAGTCTTTTTCCGGTCGTGTCGGCTCACCGTCCCATTAAACTATGAGAGTGAGGGAATAGAGAGTGCACCTGTGCTTGCGGCATACACTCGTATTATGATGCAGCGTTCTGTGAAAGCGTGGCCCTTTCTCAGTCGAGCCGAACCATTCGTGCTACAGCCATTATATGCTTCATACCTTACTCTACTAAAAAAAAAATTTTATTAATATAGTATTAGTTTTTGTAGTTTTTCATCATCATCATCATCATCATCATCATTACAGCCCTTCACAAGTCCACTGCTGAACATAGGCCTTACCCAAGGAATGCCACAAAGCACGGTCCTGAGCCACCTGCATCCATCGACTTCCTGCATGTCTCACCAGGTCGTCACTCCATCTAGTGGAGGGTCGCCCTACACTTCGCCTAGCGGTACGAGGCTGCCACTCGAGAACCTTTCTTCCCAATCGGTTGTCGGTTCTTCGAGCTATATGGCCGGCCCACTGCCACTTCAGCTTACTAATCCGTTGGGCTATGTCGGTTACTCTGGTTCTACTGCGGATATCCTCATTTCTAAGTTTATCACGCAGAGAAACCCCGAGCATAGCCCTCTCCATAGCTCGCCGAGCGACCTTGAGCTTTCCTCATACGGCCAGCGTTGGAGGACCACGTCTCAGATCCGTAAGTCATCACTGGCAACACGCACTGGTTGTACAATTTCGTTTTCAGGTTTTGAGGTATGTCTAACGAGAATATGTGCCGTAGTTTCCCGAACGCTGCCCAGCCGAGTTCAATCCGTCGATTGAACTCTCGGTCGAAGTTGGACTTACCTAGTCGGACTATTTGTCCCAGGTAAACATACTCGTTAACAACTTTGAGCTTAGTGCTCCCAACAACTACCGGCATAGGCGTGACATGGACGTTAAACATGATTTTTGTTTTGTCCATGTTCATCTTAAGACCTATCTGATGGAAGACACTATTGAGGTCATTGAGCATAGTGCTTAGGTCCTCCAGCGATTCTGCCATAAGGACTATATCGTCGGCAAATTGAAGATGAGTGATGTACTCGCCATTGATGTTAATATCGTATCCTTTCCAGTCCAGTAGCTTGAAAACGTCTTCCAATGCAACGGTGAAGAGTTTCGGGGATATAACGTCACTAACGTCACCCTGTCTTACACCTCTCTGCAGTTGGATAGGTTTCGTACTCTGATTCTGTACTCGGATAGCCATCGTAGCTCTACTGTACAAACACTTCAGCACTTCGATATACCGACAGTCAACTTGGCACCGCTGAAGGGACTGCAGCACCGCCCAAATTTCGACGGAATCAAAGGCTTACTCATAGTCCACATACGCCAGACATAGTGGCAAATTGTACTCTTCGGACTTCTGTACAATTTGCCGAAGGGTATGTATGTATGGGCTGGAAGTCGTCAAGTCTGCGCGCGAGACGATTCGTAATGACTCTCGAAAACAGCACGTAGACGCGGCTCAGAAGGGAAATCGGTCTGTAGTTCTTCAAGAGAGCGTTGTCCCCTTTCTTGTAGAACAACACCACCGCACTTTTGCTCCACGTCTCCGGTGTAATGCCACCATGGAGGGCGGAATTAAAGAGCTTCTGAAGGACTTCCAGTACCGGTTTTCCACCCGCTTTCAGAAGCTCCGCTGTAATTCCATCCTCGTCCGGGGACTTGCTGTTTTTAAGGCGTTGGAGAGCCATTCTTATCTCGCTCAGATTGACGTCCGGGATATCTTCGGAATAGTGTCGGATAAGACTCGCTCTTGGATCGTTACTCACACTTGCGTGTTGCTCCAACGATGACGTGTACAGCTGCCCATAGAACCTCTCAATCTCACTCAAAATCTCAGGTGTCCCGGAAACGATTATGCCACATTCTGTCTTCAGCTTTGACAGTTGGCTCTTTCTGGCAGACAGATCTCTGGCAAAGACTATGGAGCCTTGGTTCCGCTCGATCGCTTCTTCAATACAAGCTGTATTGAAGTTGCATAAGTCCCGCCGCATGCATTTGGAGATCTGTCTGTTCAGTTACCTGTATGCTGTCAAATCTGTTAAAGAGTGTAGCTTCATCTCCCGTCTAACAGCCATGAGATTAAGAGTGTGATTGGAGAGTTTTTGTGTTCCTCTGCGGCGGGTCTTGCAGAACTTAGCTCCAAATGCATAGACAGTTTCCACGAGCTTGTCATTCATATCGTTTACTTCAATGCAGTCTTCTAGGCACTGAAAACGGTTTTGTGACTCGAGCTGAAAGGTTTCAGGACTTTGGAACAGAACACGAGGGGGACGAAGCGTTGACTTCATGAGACGAGACCTCTCCAACTTAACGTTTAGGTTCAGTGTGCCTCTAACCATTCGGTGATCGCTACCAGTTTTCACCCTCGCGATCACGGATACATCACTGAACAGTTGTCGTCTGGTCGTCATAATGAAGTCAATCTCATTTTTGTCGAACAGTCGGGGCTCCATCAGGTCCACTTCCTGTGATAGTGCTTCGGGGAGAAAGAGTTCATCATAAAGAGTCCTTCTTTCTCCATGAAGTCGGCCAGCTGCTGGCCCCTTGGGTTCCGTGGCCCTATTCCAAATTTCCCTACTTTCAGCTCACCGTTCTTTCTTATGCCTAGTTTTGCATTGAAGTCTCACCGTATAGTGGGTTTTGGAGGAATGCATGGCTCTAGAGATATCCTCATACATTTCCTCCACCTCCTGATCGGGGTGTGCCGAAGTTGGTGCGTAAACCTGTATGACCTTCAGCGAATACCGTTTGGTGATTCTGAGTATAAGGTACGCAGCCCTCGTCGACACACTCCCGATCTTTACAACGTTGTTAACGAGAGACTTGTGGACGATAAATCCGACACCCCCTTGGGACAGATGGTCGCCCTCCCGGTGATAGAACAAGTTGCCGGATTCGAGGATTACCGTGTCCTCCCCCTCTCTTCGGACCTCAGATAATCCTATAATATGCCAGCGTAACTTGTCTATCTCTTCTTTGAGCTCCAAGATCTTCTCGTCAGTCCTCAGGGTGCGTGCGTTGTATGTTGCCAGGTCGAGTCGTTTTAGGTGGCAACCGAACCTCCACCGGAGATTCTTAGCACCCCCTGCTCCGCCGTTACCATGATCGCCACCGTAGCCAGGAATAGCGGGGCCGCCGGGTACTGGGGGCCGTCTCTTTGTTGATCTCATCATTGGGGGGTGTTTGCCATAATTGACACGTTTGGTGAGCGGGTTGGCAACCGCAGTTTTTTTATTGTACTTTAGCTGTTATCAGGAAGATGCTGCTGCCCATCTCCTGCCTGTTTCCCTTTGTCGCCTTTTACGACACCCACGGGAAGATATGGGGTAGTGGATATTCTTAACCGCCACTACACGGCATATATAGTTAGTTATAGTTTTTAAGTACCCGTATTAATACAACTTTTGTCACAGTGGAGGCGGCGTACTTAGAATCAGACTTAATGACAATTGTTGATGCGAAAACTTGGGAAGACATCACTGAATTCATAGGGTTGGCACCACTGAAGAAAGAAAATTGATATTAAATAAATATTTGTCGATATTTTGTTATTGTTTTAAAGAATACTGTATTGTAATTTATTAATGTTACCATTATTTCCGGTAATCAATCCAATCAAATCGGGATAGGTTCTTTACTGTTTTAATTAGGCTCAGTTAGCTACCATATGATTTTTAATATTATACATTCTGTGACATACTCATAAACTACGAGATAGTTTCTATTTTAATACCAATTTTGGCCTACTGTCGATAAATAATTTAAAATTAAAAATTTTGTACAGCCGACTTCAATATAAGTTATTTAAGAATAACTCAAAAACTATTGGTCTGACCTGGATCAAGGTCAGACCAATAGTTTTTGTTTTTTCAATTCATATGGGACCACACGAGAAGTACCAGCTTTCAAATAAAAGAAGAATCATCGAAATCGGTACATAAAAAAAACAAAAAAAAATACAGTCGAATTGAGTACCGTCTCCTTTTTAGAAGTCGGCAGAAAAACAAGTGGTAAAATAAAAATTACTGCAATATAAATTATTAAGGATAACTCAAAAACTACTGACCTTGATCAAATTTATATGGGACCACAAGAAAATCACCAGCTTTCAAACAAAAAAAGCCCGAGAAAAAAGTTATGAGGTAACACACATATAAAAAAAAAACCATACAGTCGAATCGAGTACAGTCCTTTTTGAAGTCGGTTGAAACACGTTGAGATTATTGTTCTCACTGGGAATTACTCTGTATAATATAGGAAGTTTCATAGGTACATATTTTACACATGGAAAACCATTCTACGTATACGTGTGCATACAGTACTGTGCTATCGAGTTAATTATTTTCCTACGCCCGAAAAAGTTCACCACTGTACAAGGGTCTTTTGTTGTGGTGAGAATTTGCCTTAATGTGGGCTTTCACAATTTTGCCACCAGGGCGGCGCCACTTAAGATTGAAGTGAAATATTTTACAGATTTCATAGCGGGGGAAGTTAATTTGTTAGAAATATTAGTTAGATTTTACATTAATTCGCTTAGAAATGCATGAACGGATATTCCTAAAATGATTTTTTAGAAAATATAAGATTAAAAAGATTAATTAGTGCGACTTTTGATATACGGCTACTCATATTATCGTATAAATGGAATGTGATTATGATAGAGGTATTTTAAGACCACAAAATTACTTGATCTTGACGTGTCGAGAGTAGTATAGCACTGAAAACTTTTATTTAAAAAGTAATTTTTTAATGATGATGACACTGTGTGACTTTATGTGTAGCTAACAAATAAGTTCACCTAAGTCCCAACTATCGACAGTGACATCTGGTGAGTATAATAATATTCGACCTCATTGTTACACGTGGCAGTTGGATTGACGATCGTAATACCAGACGTCGCGCACCTTTGACGCTGCCCCTAGTTGGACTGTGTATTTAATATTGTTGTGTGCTAAGCTCGTAACAATATCTGGCAACTTTTTACATATTATTTTTTTTTAAAGTAAAAAATACTGGAAATGCTAATGCTGCTGATGCTGATAATATTCCCTTCAAACGCTCCTGGTAAGCTTATAACGCTTGTATTAGGAGTGTTCACGACAATAGTCGAATGGTGGATTCGAAACCACGGCCTTTTAAGTTCGCGATCCAGACTGTTAGGCTACTGTCGTGTTATGCATGCATTTTGTTGAAGCAAACAAAATATTATAACGTCGATGAAAGTGCAACGCCACGACCGGGTATATGCAGTTTCATATTTTCATTGGACGCCAATCGGACGCGATCAAAAAGAAATCAGGCGCATTATCCACGGCTTTACGCCCTTTCTAAGGTCCGGAAGTGAAACACTGCCAAATTCCAGACCACGGGCGTTTCTTGACAGAGCAACCTGACTCGAGAATCGAACCCGGGACGACATTAGCAACCGTGCTAATTACCACTACGCCAATAAGGCAGTCAAAATATTTGGCATAATATGTTCCCCCTATGAATGGTACCAAAAATTAATCAACCAAGTGATAAAGTTAATCATTACAAAGTAAAGTTAGTAAGTGGCAAACAAGTTAAAACAACGTACATCGAGTCCGTGACTTATCTAGCTTTGAACGGTAATTGATCCTTGACACTTTGCCGCTTATGACCCGGGATGAGCTTGATAAGTGGGAACGGGAAAGAGCTTTAAGCCCTCTAAAATAATAACGAGAACATTTTACAATAAACGGATAATTTTAAAAATATAAATAGACTTTAAAATTAATGGTTATAACCAATATAGAATATTTACAAGTATAATCATACGATTAAAAAAAGAGTGACCGCGAGGATCTTGTGTAAAATACAATTTTCTATTTCTATAAAACTGAAAAGACAAACGAACTTACAGTTCTGATGGTAACTAGCTACTGCAGTCCATGGATACTTGCAACTAATTTTAATCTAAGAAAGCTGCAGATGCGTTATCACCTGTTAGATGGAATGCTTCACATCCTGCAATTATACACTTAAAATAATAAACCTAGCAAGCTAACAGAATAGCAAAGTGGCGAAGCAATCAGCTTTGTAGCGGTTTCTAACGGTTGCCGTTGAGCAATCAGTTTCAAAATAGGAGGTTCAGATGCCTGGGTGATCAGTAATCGATTGCTGAAAACAGAATTTGAAAATTCGAAACCGTTCTCGAGATAATCGTGGGACAAACGGACAGACAGACAGACGGACAGACATCGTGAAATCAATAAGTGACTTCGCAAGCTTCGCCACTTAATAAAATAGAGCCGAATCAATCTCCTTTGTTTCGGAAGTTAGTTAATAAACCATTTTGTTATTTGGTAAAGCAGTCTCATTACTGCTCGCTAGGAAAGTAATTCTCTTTTAGGCAATTTTGGTGTAAAAACTGACGTAATAAAAACGAAAACTTTTACCAGGTTTTCATCCACTGTTTCCTTCTTCATCAAGACTACTGTTGTGCAAGATGCTACTCCCTTAGTAGGGAGTATTTTGCGTAATTGCAAAGCTTGGTAGGTTATTTGGCGATCGAAGTAATAGCCTTGTTTGACGACAACGACTTTGACGCTGCTCGTTGTCACCATTTTGAAACAATTGCATCTCTCTATGTTAAGCTAAGTAGTATTGGGCCAACCATACAGCTCGAGGAAGCAACAACCGATAGCGAAAATGTTCTCGAATAGCAGTCTCGTAGAGTGGCGTACTCGTAACTGCAGTACTGCAGAGTGTTAATAATATGAATTGACGATTTGGTAAGAGATGCAGGAATCAATGGTAAACCCTTTTAGAGATGAAAGGTCTGTATCCAGGTGTGGGATGAATGTAGGTTGTTATTTTCTTTTATTTTTCGTTAATTGGGCTAAGAGAATTTGCTGTAAATTTCACAGTACGCTAGCAACCTAAGTTTTAGATGCTTGTTCGAATCTAGGGCTGATATAATGTAAATAATACTTCTATCTCTCTATAATATAAAAATGAATCGCCGAATGTGTTGCTAAGCGCAAATCTCGAGAGCAACTGAACCGATTTCGCTAATTCTTTTTTAATAATATTCCTTGAAGTATGAAGATGGTTCTTACGGAGAGAAAAATTTAAAAAATTGCCTGAAAAAGTCTAAAAAAAACACTTTTCTATATTCCCATACAAAAGATTCGTAATAATACTTAAAAGTCAATTTGGACTTTAATACCATACCATAAAGTTTAAGTGTTAGTGGAGGGCTCCGGGAAGGCAAAATAATTGAGTGACGTTAGTATTGTATAAATATTAATGTCAATATTTGTCAATATTTATCACAAAATTCCACGTAAAAAAAAATTGATATCCATGAAATCTTAGTAAATTCCACGCGGGCGAAGTCGCGGGGCACAGCTAGTTAAATATAAATATATATTTGCTTTTCTGTATTACTTATTTATATGCATAATACAACATCTTGGATTTAGGCGGCTGGAATTTGACGGCCGGTGGATTGCTGCCCGTGTATTATTGTTCAAATGGTTTGCAGTGGAATTTGATAAATAAAAGTGGTGCGTTTTTTTTTAAATGTCTGCGCATATGAATTTTTAGTGAAAACATCGAAATAAGTGCTTCGATGGTGATGTGAACCTCCAGATAATGTGTATGCATGTGAAGTGTACTTTAAAGGATAAATTTCTTATTACTTGATACTGTTCGCCAGTTCAATCGTCCATTACCAAAGAAAGAATACAACGCCCCAAAAACTATAAATAGTTGCAAGTCCAAGACATTGATCTTACATCCTAGACGCATAACAATATAATTTAAAAAAAAATGTATAATTAATTAATTTTCTGGGTTTATTATAATTATTATTTACTTTTATTTGAATTTTTCATTATTTTGTTTTAAATTAGTTTAAGTGCTTTTTTACATTAATGTCCGATTGTTCGTGAGTCTATTAAGGGGCTACTCCATGCGAACGACCTTGAGCATTTGTCCGGCGCGCCGCTCGCTCCAATATAATGCGTAAGAAATATGTAAGACGCCACATATTGTACGAACGTAGTATTATTTTTTCAACATCAATAAACTATTTTATGGAAATACACACAGCGTACAACGATAAACGTATTTTAATTTTTTTATACGGTATATTAGTTGCATTATATTAGAATTATGTATTTTCATATATTATCTAATTATGAAATTTTATAATTAATTATATATTAAAAATGAAGCATTGAAAATTGTGAGTTTAAAATATACCTTTTCACTATAGGTAAATAAATAGATAGCTCGCCTTTTGTACAAATATTTGGTGCAATAAAGAATAAATAAATAAATAGGATGTTTCGCAGATGTGTTTTTGATTATTGTTAATTTTTACGTGTCACGTATTGAAAAGTAAATACCTACCTACTAATTTTTGAACTGAGCACCTTGTAACTTAGCCTGCTTATTACTTATGCTGGCAGACATTATCCTCACCCCAATGATTGATGAGGATGAAAATCAATTTTATTTCTACATACGTAATTATGTTTATTTATACAT